CTCGAGCGATGGTCGCGTATAAGGCACAATTGTAGCCTCATTTTTACTCTTTTTTTTTCGAATTTTTCTCTTAAACCTCAATCTCCACTCATCAAATTTTGGCAAAATCTTGTACTTCAAGTCTTGAGCAACTACTTTGAAACTCTTTCACATCAATTTGGCCACTCAATTCTTCAAATTTCAAAGTTAAACCTATCAAACCCTAGTTTTGACATTTTTGGGGGTTTTGTGATCTTCTTGGATGATTGCCTTAATTCTTCACATACATTCACATGTTTTGAGTCCATGAATGTTATGGGATTGTTGTGTGCATCAATGTGATTCTACTTTTACATGTTTTTGATAATTTTGGCAATTGGTTGAATGTTCTTTATTGCACTTGATGTTTTTGGCTTATTTTGATCAATTTTGATGGAGTCTGGGATAGGACTAGTTGTTGGATTTGTTGTTTGTGGTGTTAGGATGTTGGGTTAGTCATGGGTGTAGCCAAGTGTGCTTTGAATTTCACGGATTGGTATTGCCCTCGAAGTGTTCAATAAAATGCTTCTTTAGATTGATCGTGTGTTTTTGGTCTTGTTTTCGCACACACGAGTCATACTTCGTGCCACGACTGCTCCCATGTACTCACATGTCCATTTGGAGTTGCTTTGCATTGAATTTTGATTTAGGTACCATGACATTCACACTGCACCTCCGTCCTGCAGTCACTGCACTATGTCCATGCACTGTTCTATTTGACACTTTTGCATTGGTTTGTGTGTGTATGACATGTTTGCATTGTTTTGCATTTCGTACCTTGATTTGCATCAGTTTGGTGCTACTCATTTGTACATCATTTTCACGCATTTTCATGCGTTTGACTGTGTGGCCGCTCGTGTGGTCTATATTCTCTTTCATAGAATCTCTTGACATGTTTGTTATGCAATCATGTTCCAGATGCCGCCGAAGAGAGCCAGGACCACCACACCACAGGCCATGGATCCACCTCCTAGAGGGGGTGATTAGGTGTAAATGCGGAATTAATACTTAATTAACATGCAACAAGTCACAAGTTAATTATGTCGAAGTGATTAGTCAAACAATTCAATTTAACCTATCTTGAAATACAGCAGTAATGCCAAAGCAGTAAATAAAGCAATAAACAAAATCGGAATTGTTCACGGAGAAACCAAACGTAGGAAAAACTCCGGCCACTTTGTCAGTCAAAGATCCACT